TCAGCTTTTTGTGTTTACTGACTTGTGCTTTCCCTGTCTGGGGTTATACAAAAATATTCATCAAAATTTTCATCTTATTATTTTACTGTTTTATATTTTACATTCAAGACTTTAGCTGGAATTTAATTTTGTGTGTAATGTAAGGAGGAGTCAAGACTTGGAATCTCGGAGTTTGCCATAACTCGTCATATCTTGTGGCATTTTCCATGTTTTCCTAATAACCTTCCAGTAAGCTCACAGTTCGTCCGGTTTCAGACCTTTCTCCTGTCACGCTGCTATGCTGTAAACTGAGAGTGGGAAGGAACCACGTCTGTTTCTCCATTGCATCCTCAGGAAAGACCCATAAACATTGCAAAGCACCTAGCATAGGGCCTAACACATTTTAGGCACTCAGACAACATTCATGGGGGAGCACACCTGCATTACTATGACTCCTCAAGTTTCATATTGATGGCTTTATCTTGGTTAATAAGGGGAAATGTCCTTCTCCTTAAAGCCACTCATGGTCTCATGAGTTCACTCCAGTCCTTCTTCCTCCTGTGTCTTTATTCTTTGAGGCCTGCCTTCTTTTTGTAAATCTGGCTCATTCTATAAGGACTCCCTTCAGAGTGGAGCTTTCTTCAAACCCCTTCTTAAAATCTAACAGCACTTAGAAATTCTGCCATACTATTTAGCATTTAATCCACAATGGATTTTAGTACTTTTCCAGCACCCATCACTGTGCTGGGCACATAGCCCATTAAATACATCAACTATGACTGAAACAATCTTGACTAAAACAATCTTGCATGCCAAGGTTCTTTAAAAGCCTGAGGTATAGCCTCAAGATTTGTTATGAAAGCCCTTAGGTCTAAGGAACTAGAAAACTAGGAAGAATTAGAAAATGATCCTGAAAGCTGTCGAATACAAGAATGATTTTTCAAGTGAGGTTGTGTAGTCACATTTAAATTGTTTTGAACACATTTGTTAGACAAACACAAGCAGGTATTGCCCTGTCCAAAGACACGGGTCCACAGACTTTCTCAGGATGTTTTCTATTTCCATGGCCTACACCAACTTGGATCTTTGGAGCTTCAGAGAAAATGGAAAGAAACTTATTTCGTTTAAAAATAGCATCAAATGGCTCTCAGCTCTTTCTGCATGCATTTTTAATGAAGAAATGGCTAATCTAGGGCAAGGGCAGGGACTATACAAAATGACTCTGGAGCATCTTGAGGGATTTTGTTTCTGTTTTTGTAGAGATGGGGTTTTGCCATGTTGCCCAGTCTGGTCTCCCAACTCCTGGGCTCAAGCCCTCTGCCCACCTCAGCCTCCCAAATCCTGGGATTACAGTGGTGAGCCATTGTGCCCAGCCCCCTGGGGTATCTTGTAATGCCAGAAAGTACTCAAAACAAAAAGGATGGGTGTATGTCAAAGGGACACAGGAGCCAACTGGAAAAGCTCCCAACGGCCAAAGCTGGAACAATTTGAACAATAAAATAATGTCGCATTGAATTATAGCCCAAAGAATAAAACAAATAGCCATGAGTTCATACTGATATAAATGACTGAATAAATAAATGGAAGAGACCAATCTCCCATACAGAAGAATTCCAAATCATTTATGTAGAAACTGCACCCTTAAGGAGATAGAGCATAAATTCAGGGAATAATTCCCCAACCCTTAAGAGTAGAATACACTTAATGGCTTGCTTCTAAAGAGTGCAACATTAAAAAATATGTATATATAATTAAATGTTTTTTTAAAAGTACTACATAAATAAAGGGAGCAAAGTAATTTTACAGTGGAGAAGCTTGGCGAAGACTACCTTAGCCAGGTGAGCAAAGTTAACACCATCAGTGAGAAGTCATGTTGCTTGTATGTACCCTTAATATGATGTGAGGAAAATGACATTTCACCTCCGTGGTCTTCTTCCCAAAAACCATAACTATGAGAAAAATGGACATATCCTAATTAAGGCATGTGCTACAAAATGCATGACCAGTTCTCCTCAAAACCATCAGTCATCAACAACATCCAGGTGCAGTGGCTCACACCTGTAATCCCAGCATTTTTGGAGGCAGAGGCAGGAGGATTGCTTGAGGCCAGCAGTTCAGACCAGGCTGGTCAACACAGTAAGACCCTGTCTTCTTTTTAATTAAAATTTTTAAAAATTAGCCAGGTGTTGTACATGCCTATTCCCAGCTACTTGGGAAGTCGAAGCAGGAGGACTGCTTGAGCCCAGCCAGGAGTTCCCCCAGGAGTTGAGCCCAGGCTGCAGTGAGCTAAGATTGCGCCACTGCACTTCAGCCTGGGCAATAGAGCAACACTCTGTCTCTTTAAAAAAAAAAGGCCGGGCGCGGTGGCTCAAGCCTGTAATCCCAGCACTTTGGGAGGCTGAGGCGGTTGGATCACGAGGTCAAGAGATCGAGACCATCCTGGTCAACATGGTGAAACCCCGTCTCTACTAAAAATACAAAACATTAGCTGGGCATGGTGGTGCATGCCTGTAATCCCAGCTACTCAGGAGGCTGAGGCAGGAGAATTGCCTGAACCCAGGAGGCGGAGGTTGCGGTGAGCCGAGATCGCGCCATTGCACTCCAGCCTGGGTAACATGAGTGAAACTCCGTCTCAAAAAAAAAAAAAAAAAAGTCATCAAAAACAAAGAATGTCTAAGAAACTATCACAGCCTACAGGAGTCTATGGAAATATGACAATTAAATGTAATATGGTATGCTGGATGGGATCCTGGAACAGAAAAAAAGACATTAAGCAAAACTAGTAAAATCTGAAAAAGTATGAAGTTCAGTTAATATCATTTCTTTAGTGGTGATAAATGTACCACAGTAAAATGTTAACAGAACTGGGTATGGGTATATGGAAACTGTATTATCCTTGTACCTTTTCTGTAAATCTAAGTTTATTTAAATATTTTTAAAATACAGTTTGGGCAACAGATTAACTACATGCTTATCTTGACAACTGTGCTTTTAATTACAGGGTGCTGGTGACAGCTTTGTGGGAGCTTTGGCCTTCTACCTAGCTTACTATCCAAATTTGTCCTTGGAAGAAATGCTCAAGAGATCTAATTTCATTGCAGCAGTCAGCGTCCAGGCTGCAGGAACACAGTCATCTTACTCTTACAAAAAAGACCTTCCACTTACTCTGTTTTGATTGCTATTAATCCCAAAACATACCTGGAAATAAAATGTACTTGGGGGTGGCCGCTCCTAACAGTTATTAAAAAACGTCTTCATCCCCTTTCTTTGCAAATATGTTCTTTTTTTATGAAGTCATCCTCAAGCTTCCATTGATTTATAACGATGATTCTTTTGCTTTCCATGCATTTGCACAAGCCAACCAGAATTAAAGATTCCACAACCAAGATCTGCACAAACATTGCCACTCTTCAGGGACAAGCAGCCTCAACTGTCAACAGATTAATGACCCATGTGCACCATACCGCAGGGGTTGACAATAGTGTCCAGAGCCAGGACAGACTCTTAAATACGGGAAAGAACACTTTCTAAGAGAAGCAGCTGTTACTCAACTTTAGCAGCTTAGTGTTGTCAAAGCCTGTGGTTTTGTAAGGGAAGCCAGGTTAGATATTTATTGAAACCCTTCAATGTTAATGTATCAGCAACTAATTTTTTTTAAATGTAAATACCACAGGGGCATGGTGGCTTATGCCTGTAATCCCACCACTTTGGGAAGCCAAGGCAGGAGAATTGCTTGAATTTGAGACCAGCCTTGGGCAACATGGTGAAACCTCATCTCTACTAAAAATACAAAAAATTAGCCAGGCATGGTGGCACATGTGCCTGTAGTCCCAGCTACTCAGGAGGCTGCGGTGGGAGGATAACAGCCTAGGAGTTCAAGGCTGCAGTGAGCCATGATCACACCACTGCACTCCAGCCTAGGCAACAAAGCAGACCCTGTTATCAAAAAAATAAAGCAACCACCACCTACAGGCCACAATAGGTGCAAGTCATTTGTTAAACCAGATGTTTAAAAAAAAAACAAACAATCCATGCATGTCACAGACCCTTTACATCAGCTTAGCTAGGATCAAGTGAAAGATTTTTCTTGTAACTCCACACTATGTGCAGTTTCAGCCTAAAAAGTGTCAAGATCTCACCTATCATTGCTTTGAACCACAGCTTTGTCAAAAGATGCTACCAAATAGCTGATTGCCCATGAGGTCACAAGCCCAAGATTCAACAAGTATCTACTTCTAATCCCACTGCCAGAGATCTGCTCTTACATTTCCCTTGGAGTCAGGTTTGGGCCTTGGAGAAGGAACTTATTATGTAGCCAGGGTGGGCACTCTTCTCATTCTCCCACACAAATGCTTTAAATGGGGTAGAATGTGAACCAACAGAGCTTAAAACGAGCTGATCCTTTCCAGCCAGGAACTTGGCAAAGGAGAAAACTGGATAATTTTGAAAATTTGTGGAAAACAGCAGCCTGAGTAAGTGTGTGGCTCTGGCAGGACAGAGGTCTGTATCTGAACATCAGGGATTACTCACAGAATTGCATGCTAGTTAGCTGTGTGGTACCACCATGCCCCAGAAGTCCTAGCAGTGACTTTATGGAAATATACTATGGCACCCTTTATTTTAAAAAGAAAGAAAAATTTAGGGAATAAAGGAATCCAAAGCTGTCCTAGAAAATCCTAGATACTGCTTTGGTCACCTGGGTTTGAAAATATAGGCCAGTGGCATTTTTCCTAATTATATAAGCACAAATCAGAAATAGAAGTTCTCTTCATTTATTCTGTGTTACAAGGCTTTTTATTGTTATCCTGTTCCCCCTTACCATCTCTGTTATTACATGAGAGTTTCTTCAAGATCACTCTGGAATGTTACTCTGCTTTTTCTCTGAAGTACAGAAGGAGCAAGCTGGAAACTCGTACATAAGTGTTGTTATGGAAACATTTATTACATGAAACAATGGTTATTTTTTAGTAATGTGGTTGAAAACCTCAAATAGTGGGGAAAAACATCACTAAGACACAATAGCATAGGCTATTTTAATATTTTTTATTAAGAGCTATAAAAATACCCAGAAAGATAAATAAATGTGATGCAGTGATATCTGTCCTAATATGAAGAACTTTCTTTCACTGCATTGTTTTCCTTCACAATGGCCTTCAAATCACAGGAGGCAGTGATTCCAGGCCATTTCCTCTTCTTTTATTACACACTACAGGATTTCTGAATCAGTATCCCCTCCCTCAGTCTTCTCATTTATAAATCAAAGTCATTTTCAATCCACCATTTAAAGGGAGCGTATTTTTTTGTCTTCCACGAAGAGGACTCTTTGCTTCACTATGGAGGGAGAAAAAAAAGAATTGTAGTGGAAAATTATTATAAAGTATCATCACCATTTTTAGAAAAAATACACATCCGACCATAAGCCCTTTCCTTTCTCTTATTTTACTATTCCTTGACATGAGGATGGAGCTGATTTTCACGCAATTTCTCCATCCCAGAGGCCAGCACAGACTGGAGAAAATGGCTAGGGCCACTAGCTCATCAGTGGCATCCCTGGTATCCCACAGTCATATTTCAACCAATGTAGAAATATTCACATTAAGAAAGAAAACTAGGGACAAAAATGGAAAACAATGTTTTCACCCAGTTAATGTCCACTCTTGCAGGAGGTAAGCAAGGACAGACTGGGAGGTGGACTCCGGAAAAAAGAGCAGCAGGAACCAAGTGGACGACACAAGAAAAGGCAGCCTGTCTGGAAGAGTAACAGACACTAAATCTCTACTTTCCAGAGATGGGTTAATATACCCAAATATGGAGTTCTTAGTTTGGTCTACAATTAATACCATAACCAAAATCTCATTACTGTAAATATTACAGAGTACAGTTCTCTGAAACAAAGTGCTGCCTGCCTGGATGAAAGACTGAAGACTAGATGCTGGGCAGTAATAGTTCTATAATGCCCTATAGCACTCCATTAACTTCCAACATTCATATTCTCTCTCTCTCTCTCTCTCTCTCTCTCACACACACACACACACACACACACACACACACACACCCCACCTATTTCCTCTTTGCTAAAACAAAAACAAAAAACACCAGAAATGCAACAATCACCCAAGGAAGATGCAGTAAGTTGAAGAACTATGACCTATCAACTCATTTGTCCTTGTCATACAGAGATTTTAGCTTTTTTCTTCTTCTACAGGCAATATGAATACTCTGTATATGAGATTCCCAATGTTTCTATGATTAATAATTTGCTTATTTAAAAACTAAGTTAAGTCCATTCTCACCTTCACTCCTACCTTAATTCTGGTTTAATAAAGCTAGAGTTGCACTGGAAGTCTACATTTTTTAAAACTCCTCAATTGATGGGCAGCTGAATTTAAGAACGATTAACCTGTCAACAGAATTCTATCTATAATATTAATACACTGTATGTAAGGGATCTTTTTAACATACTTCAAATCATGTGAAATTTAAGTAGGATTGATCCTCCTAAAACTCCAAGGAGAACTACAATGCATTAATGCATTACAAGATGGTAGTAATGAACCAAAATAGTTTCTCATCCATGTTATTAATTACAAGAAATATTTCCCCCATGGTTTTCTACAAGGAACTAAAAACTTGGTTTAAAAAAAGGTGGGGTGGGGAGGGGGACTGTCTCACTGAAAAGCAATCTGGAGACTATTTAAAGGACCCTGAGCAGGAGTAACTGATTAAGATTAGTAGAGCAAGGCTATATTGAGGAAAATTATTTGATTCATTCACTGCATCTATTCCTTTAATTCAAAGAATATTTAAGTCCATAGAACTGTGCTAGGCAATGTAGAGTTTACAAAAGTGTAAGGAGAGTTCCTGATTTAATACATCAGTACACATCAGATGCCCAAACAAAAGTCAAGTAAACCCCAGGGGAACCTAAAGGTCAAAAGGGACAGGAATGGTGACAGAAGGCCTCATGGAAAGGGTCAAGTTTGGTCCCTGCAGACAGATCAGCGTTTGGATGAACTGAACCAGGAATGAGCATCTGGTTTAGTAGAGGGATGGTGGTAGGAGTCTCAGTGGGGATCCATGGCCTGACCACAGGGATAGGTCTTGATTAAAAAAAAAAAAAAGTTGTAGAAAGATTAAGTTGACTCCATGTATAGAAAGAACAGGAACTTGGCCAGGAATGGTGGCTCATGCCTGTAATCCCAGCACTTGGGAGACGGAGGTAGGAGGATCACTCGAGGCCAGGAGTTCCAGACCAGCCTGGGCAATATAGGAAGACCCTGTCTCTACCCCAAAAAAAAAAAAATATATATATATATATAGATAGATAGATACAGATATAGATATAGATATAGATTCAAATTAGAAGGGCAAAGCACAATAGCTCAGGCCTGTAAGCCCAATACTTTGGGAGGCCAAGGTGGGTGGAATGCTTGAGCTCAGGAGTTCAAGACCAGCCTGGGCAACAGAACGAGACTCCATCTCTATTAAAAAAAAAAAAAAAAGATTAAATAAATAAAAAACAGGGACTTGAGGAAAGGCTGGGTTCCAACTCTGGCTCCATCATTTATCAGCTATGAGTCCCTGGGAAAATCTCTCAAAATACTCTACCCTGCTTTCTTCTCTGTAAAAGAGAGAACTATGCCCCTCACAGGGTTGCCGTGGACACACAGTACACACTCAACGTGTTACGTGAATTGAAATGACACACTGCCATCCACAATTGTAAACATAAATTTTCCATCAAAATATTTGCTGTTTAATTCATAGAATGAATCTGTCAAGTTCTCTCCCTACATGTAACCAAACTCGATTCTGCTTCAATTAAAGTCTATATTGTCTTGTTTAGTCATCCAAGGAATTAAAACTGACAAGTTTTCATTCTCTTTATGATGAACCTTCAATATATCTAAGAAAGTTTATTAAGCTTATGCCTCAGCCTTTAATCCTTCCTCTTTGGAAATTAGCATCTAGTTTTATATGAGGAAAAGGAGTTTGAAAGGACAAGCATATGCAGCTGCTTCTTGCCAGAGACTGTATTATGAAATGCTCAAATAATTGGGAATTTTTCCAAGTTTCCTTACCTATTTCCTTCATAAAGCACACCAACCATCATTGTCCTCAAACTTAACAATTTACTTATCAGAGTAAAATATGCAGGGAGAACTGCCAAGCTATTTGGTACCCTAAGCAATGGGGGCAGGCCCCAAGGCAAACATCTTCATCATGAACACCTGCAGAGCATTCAGCAGGTGGGCAGAAAGCCAGGCGGTCTTCCCCTCCAGAACATTCTCTTCTTCAGAAAAGACAAAGTTGTGCTGTCAAAGCTAAGGCCATTCCTTATGAGAAAAGTTCTAAGCATCTGTTTGAAATTTATCTATGAATCTTTTCTCCCACTTTGAACTTATGATCAGAACTGTTTATGGTTGTATCCTTTCCCAATCTCAAAACTTAAAATCAAACACAAATATTAACTTCCTAATACCTCCATACTAAGGATGAAAAGGCTAATACCTTTTTTTATACTTAAAATATCACAGGTTATTCAATCAATATTAGTGTTGTGCGGGTTTCTAAAAATAAACTTTAAAAGAGTTAAATAAATATATATACTCTGGTTTCTCTTCAGCACATATAAATCTTTCACCTTTTATTAAGAGAGTTAAATATGGTAGCAAAACAATTACCTGTACTTTATTGTAAAATTTATCCCTTTGAGTTTTCACCAACTGACACAAAGAAATCAGAGAGGGGCTGGGCACAGTGGCTTACGCCTGTAATCCCAGCACTTTGGGAGGCCAAGGTGGACGGATCACGAGGTCAAGAGATCAAGACCATCCTGGCCAACATGGTGAAACCCCGTCTCTACTAAAAAATACAAAAATTAGCTAGGCGTGGTGGCGTGTGCCTGTAGTCCCAACTACTCAGGAGGCTGAGGCAGGAGAACTGTTTGAACCCAGGAGGTGGAGGTTGCAGTGAGCCGAGATCATGCCACTGCACTCCAGCCTGGTGACAGAGCGAGACTACATCTCAAAAAAAATAAAAAGAAATCAGAGAGGGAAAAACACACCAATCCAATACCAAACCTTATTCCCATATCAAACCTAATCATTTTTCCACCATACGAGGAATCATCCTGAAATTCAGACTCCTTATCATCAGGTACAAACCTAGAATTCTCTTTTTACTATGTAAATGAATAAACAGAAATTTAAACACCATTAAAAACAGCAAGGAATTTTATTTCTGTTAAAGGATGGAACATAAGAAACTTTAAGCTGACAACTGTGCTTCTCAGAGCGTTTTAAAAATGTCTGCTCGTGTTATTATAGCCATTATCTTATCAAGAAGCAATGGCCAGGCATGGTGGCTCATGCCTGTAATCCCAACACTTTGGGAGGCCGAGGCGGGTGGATCACCTGTGATCAGGAGTTCCAGACTGGCCTGGCCAACATGGTGAAACCCTATCTCTACTAAAAATATAAAAATTAGCTGGGTGTGGTGGCGCACGCCTGTAGTCCCAGCTACTTGGGAGGCTGAGGCAGGAGAATCACTTGAACCCAAGAGACGGAGGTTGCTGTGAGCCAAGATCACACCACTGCACTTCAGCCTGGGTGACAGAGCAAGACTCAGTCTCCAAAAAAAAGAAGAAAAGAAAAGAAAATTATAAAGAGCACAAAAATGAAATGAACAGCCAGGGCTCGAAAATTTAAATGTTTACCTTTTAATAAATCTACACATAAAAACCAGAAACAGGATAGGTGACCACTAACAGCAATCAGGTGCTGACTCTATTTTGTTTGTGAGCAGATAATCTGGCATTGGGAACACTTGCCTCTTCTAGATAAATACTTCCACCTAATGAGACCATTTAAAGTTACCATATAGTACAGCATTTTAGTTGATGGCACAAAATGGAAAAATCAAATTTCACACCCTCTTGCGCTAACGTACAGAAACCATATTCCTTTAACTTATATCAGGACCCAAAAACCAGCCACTGTCATACAGATGATGCCAGGACACCACAGCGTCCCCTTCTCAAGACACTTGTCTGTTTCTGGAACACACACCTACTCTCTTGACGTAGCTGGTTTCTCACCTTCAGGTCTCGGTTAACTACCTCCTTCTGGAGAGACATTCCCTGATTTAGCCATCTAATATGACTTTCCCCACCACTCCCAACCTCATCCTACACCTCAGCTTTCTGATTGTTTCTCTCATAGCACTTAGAATTTGTCATCTTTTCTCTCCCTCTCAAACTAGACTAAGTGCCAAGAGTACAGGGACTTGTCTGGTCCTCGTGTATCCCAGTACCTGGGAAGGTAAACAGCATAATAATCATTAAAATTATAACCTATTTGCTAAATGAATGCCAGTGTCAGAGGCTAAAAAACTTTCAGAGATGTTCAGATATTCAGCCTACAAAGGGGGCAACAGTTCTTGGAAGCATTTCAGTCTACTGTGGGTCACTTCCCCAGATCTTACCAACTGGATCATAATGCAAGAGAGTCAGTTTTTCCCGCAGTCGGTTTCTCTTGGCGTTGAAGCAAGTACCTGTCCCAGCTTGGCTCACCATTCTCACCAGAATGTTTCTAAGATTAAAAAGTACACTGTTACAAGCTGACAAAATAGACTAAAATCAGTCATGGGAGGATGGGACATTTTGAGAACCCTGTAGGGTAATATTAGTTGTGGGATATCACTTGGCACTAAGAAGTTTCAGTTGTAAGACAGCCTAAGGTTTCCATGAAACAGTTTCAATGGTTTCAAATCTCTAGGATTTGCTCCACTACACAGAGTTACTTGGCAATGACCTAACCGAAACAGTAACAAGCCCTATTGCGGGACTAGCCTCAGACACCTACCTCTCATGAGGAGCAGAAGTCAGGAGGGGGAAAACATCAAAGTACTGGTAACCACAGCTGGCTAGTGAGGAAACTGTAAAGACAGCTGTCTCAGAGCAGCCCTCTCTTCCAGGACATATATGATTAAAATCAGGAAGGGACAAAATACAGGGACTGAAACTTTTGGGTTGCTAATGCACAAAACCATGTACTCCTTCATATTTCATTTAAGTCACAGTCATCCAAAGCAGAACATCCATATTTGCCTCATCAGATCTTTTAACATCTGTACTGTTTATTTTTTCATGTGTCATCTCCCCATGTAGACCATGTTATTTCTCATGTAATTCCAAAACAAATTGGAAGCATCTAAGACTCTATTACACATCACTGCATTGCTTTCAACATTCAGCACAGTGCTTCATAAGAGGCATACAGTATTTATTTGTAATTAAGATAGACAATAATTATTCATTCAACAGAGATTCAACAAACATTGAGCACTTACTCTATGAAAGGCACTATGGGAAATACAAAGCTCTATAAGGCTATGTATATGTTCTGTAGGACCTAACAGTACAGTATGGAAAGTGAGTTGCTACATGAGGTCTATCAGGCAAGACATATATGAAATACATCAACAGAAGGGTACAAAGAACCAGAGGCAGAATATACCTCTAAAGAAACCAAAGGCAAGGGATTCCTACAGATCCTGGGGGTGGGGAATTCTGACATAAATAACTGGATTGTGGGGAAAGCTACATGAACCACTGAAAGATACTGGGAGGGAAAGCACAAATGTATATATTTTTCATTAACTTTAATCCAAAAGACTAGCTTTAAGGATTTTCAACGTCTTGAGTTGCAAGGAAAGGCTGCTTTAGAACTTACCTATTTTTACCACAAAATCTTCAGATATTGTCTACATTTATTTTGAAATACAAGTTTCGTAGTTCTAGTCTCTCTGGTACAGAATGGCATCTTTAATCTTGGTTATTTTTGAAATGTTTATACCATGAATGCAAAGGATTACAAAACTCATTAAAACAGACTCTATGATTTAATCGAAGCACAGTTTGTTACTCTGGATTCCTGTAGTGAGCTCCAGACAAATGGCCCCTGGTCCTCAATTTGAGGAAATGGAAATATGGTGGTAGTTCAAATACAGCACAGCCCAATGGTTTGTTTAGAAACAGACAGTGAGCTCACAAATTTCGGGACTAGAAAAGCAGCAAAGACTCCTTTAAATTAAGTATTTCAATGCACACGAAGTAGCTCAGTTGAGCAAGAAGGAAAATATTTTTTGAAAGAGTTCACAGTGAAAAAATAATCAAGTAATCCACAAACCAACTCTTCGGAAATCGAGGCCCAATGCTTAATTTTATATAAGGATGTATTGGGAGCAGCTAGACTAACAAATCTGTTTTAAACAAGTGACGTTTAAAAAAAGAAAAGTCTTTACTTACTTTGATTTGCTCTTGGCAACTTTTTTGTAGACAGGAAAGGTTGGAAAAGAAAATAAAAATATAAATTTATTCTTTTTCTTATGCAAAGTTCATATAAACGTCAGTAATAACCAAAAATATTTAACTCAGGAACTATGCCAGAGATGTCACTCAAATAGCTATTCCCTAGATATTTAGAAATCCCCCTTAGGATTTTATAAGGAAGGTTAAAAGATCCAATCAGACCAACATAATTCTAGATGTAATATTTTGCATAATTTCATGACAGTTGGACTAGCTACCTTTTAAATCTTTCTAAAGTAATACCTGCTCCATTTTTTCCCTCTTCGTAGGTGCAAGTATTTGCACTGGAGCAAGCTTCTTGTTTGACAAGTTAACCTTTGCAAACTACAACAACCATCACGTGGTGAAAACCAGATACTAAATCTAACTGGGAAGTCAGCCAGGTGTAAGGAAGAGCACTGATTCGGGAGCCCGAGGACTTCTTTCACTGCCCAGCCATATTGCTCGGGCAATTCACTGCCCCTCTCGGGAGCTGTTTCCTTATCTTTAGAGTTCGAAACGGGTGGGCTATAAATTCCGAGGTTCTTCCCAGCTAGGATATCCGGTGATTCTCCTAACGCGGGCTGGAGAAAAACACCCCAGAGCCAAACTCAATAGTCCATGAGGACGACAACTGAATCCAGACACCGCAGACCCCTTCTCAAGCACCCACACGTCCGCGCAGGGAGGCGCGCCGCGGAGCATGGCGGACGCTGTAGTCCTGAAGGCCTGCGAAGTCCACAGTTGCAGCTTCCCGGCCTCTTCGCACATCCTGCCCCGCATTATTCGGGGGTCCTGCCTGTCACAGCACCCCCGCCCTTGCCGTAACCCCTGCCGGCGCCTCCAACCCCACTTACAGAAAACCGCGGAGAGAAACATGACGACCACACCTACGCAGTCTCCGCCACCGGCCAAAAGGCCCACAACAAACAGCAACTGCTTCCGGGGCACGGGCCGGTTCCGGAGGAGGACATCCGGCAGTCGCCCGTTGCCACGCCTCTCGCCTGGAACCCGCCTCCAATCGTCTGGCTGGTTCCTTGGTTCCTTACGGCTAGTGTTTTGCTCTTGCCGTGGTGGAGGTTGGAATCCTCTTCATTCTGGAAAGGGATTTACAGCTTAGGATTCGCGCCCAGACCCTGACTCCTATTTCTGGTCAAGTGCTTTCAGAGTTACGTGCTTTCCATATTTGTTTCACGAAATAATCACGACCACCTGCATTAGACCCGCAAGAACAACTGTGTGTTGTACCTTGGCTGCCCGAGCCTATCAGGCCCTCTCATATTTTCTTAAAATGTTGCTTCCCCCGACCCAACTCCCTCTCCGCCTGGTTAAAGCCTACTCTCACTACTCTCAGTCCTTTCGGGGTTAGGAACCCTACCTTTGCTTAATTATCTGTTTAACCTCTAGGAGGGCAGGACCCTTTGCATCTCAAATCTTCTGTATCCAAACCCCAAGCACACACAGTTCCTGACACAGTTCCGCAGAGAGGAACATGGCGACCACACCTGGGCAGTCTCTGTCACTGGCCAATAGGCCCACAACAGATGTTCCAAATAACAGATTGAGAGCATGCATATCACATGCCTAATACCACAAAACTACCCAGTGGCAGAGTCAGAACTTAAACCTAGATTTTAACTGACTCCAAAGACTCATGGCTTTCCCAGTAGACATTGGGACCTACCAGTTTGCAGTCATTAATTTTTCATGACTCTGTAAGGAACTGGGGCTCCTCCAACACTAAGGACCTCATCAGTAACCTCATTTCCCAACTAATAATCAGGACTTTTGAATTTTTTTTCTAATCTGTGATTTGTATCTACATATTAAGTCTTACAGGCGAAATAAGATTTAATCTCATGGCTCACCCCTGTAATCCCAACATTTGGGAGGCTGAGATCAGGAGTTTGAGACAGGCCTGGCCAATGTAGCAAAACCGCTATCTCTACTAAAACTACAAAGATTAGCTAAAGCCGGGGGGTTCTGCTCTCTATATACCATCACAAACAAGATTGGGGGGGGGGCGGAATCAGCTCTCCATACAATACAATTCAATTTTTAAAATTAAGACTGTCCTCCTTAGTACCTATAATATTCTTTTTCCTTCTAATCATTCTTGATATTCACCTTCCCATAACCTGACTCCAGCAACTGAGTACCTTCCAGGTGCCCAAATCCTTCCTTAGATGTTCAAAAGGATAAGATTTCTTATTGAGAAATTCCTCTAGAGGATTTACAAGAAAAGAACACAAGACTGGAAGCCAGGGAACACAATTTCTAGTCCTTGTTCTGTTCTTTAGAAAACCACTTTAACTTTTCAGACCTCAGTTTCATGTTTAATGTGGGTATTGGATCAGTGTTTCTCTGTGCATAAGAGTCACCTGTAGTAGTTTCAAAAACTCAGATACCAGGGGTGAGGTTCAGGCTTTGTATTTTCCCCCCAATTTTCTATAAAGAAACATTTCAAAGATACCAAAAAGTTGAATGGATAATGCAACAAAAAAATCATATACCCAATTCAGCAAATGTTATTCTGCCAGATATGTATATTGATGTTTGCATGTAGATGGTGTGTTCATGTGTGTATATGTATAATATACAGTGTGGGTTGTCCAGGTTCCTGATTTTAAAAAGTATATAGTTGAAACTTCCAGATTTATCACCTCCAGTCCCAGCTTCTCCTTTGAATCCTAGTTATTGGTGTATTTAACTGTCTAGTTGACATCAGATGTCCACAATCAGACTTTCTCTGCACCTTTCATCCCCAGGTTTCTCCCATATCAGTATGTGGTAATTCCATTTTTCTAGTTGCTCAAGTGAAAAACCTCAGAGACAACTTGCTACCTCTTTCACACCCATCAAATAAATCCTGTCACTCAAATAGCATCTCATCAGTGAGGCCACTCAATGTAAAATAGTTCTTTTCTTTGAGACAGGGTCTGGCTCTGTAGCCCAGGCTCGAGTGCAAGTGGCATGATCTCAGCTCACTGCAACCTCCGCCTCCAAAGGCTCAAGCTATCCTTCCACTTCCACCTCCCAATTAGCTGGAACTACAGGCACAGGCCACCACACCTAAGTAATTTTTGTAGAAATGGGGTTTCACCATGTTGCCCAGGCTGGTCTTAAACTCCTGAGCTCAAGCTATCTGCTTTCCTTGGCCTCCCAAAGTGCTAGGATTACAGAATTGAGCCACTGCGTCTAGCCAAACAACAGTTCTTAAACTCCACGCCCCCACCCCCAACTCTATTCTATTTATTCTTCTTTATGTTTTCCTATAGCATTTATTGCCATTTAATATTACTTGTGTACTTGCTGATTTCCCTATTGTCTTTGTATACTAGAATGTTGGGCAACATAGCAAAACCCTGTCTCTAAAAAAAAATTTCTTTAATTGAAAAAAGGAACTTCAGCTTATTCCCTCATGCTGTGTCCCTGGTTCCTAGAACAATGCCTGCTACATCTATTAAATATCTGTTGAATTAATGACTGAGATGAGAGGCACCATACAAATGTTAAGTCATTAATATTTATGTTTAAATGGCAAAAAAAAAAACTATAAGTATTGTCAATAGTTTCAGGATCCAGGAGACTGTATAAGCTTGCTTTTGAAAAGTGGCAGGTGTGTTAGCTCACTCCTGTAATCTCAGTATTTTGGGAGGCCAAGGTGGGTGGATCACCTGAGGTAGGAGTTAGAGGCCAGCCTGGCCAACATGGCAAAAACCCATCTCTACTGAAACTACAAAAATTAGCTGGGTGTGGTGGTGCATGCCTGGAGTCCCAGCTACTTGGGAGGCTGAGGCAGGAGAATTGCTTGAACCTGGGAGGTGGAGGTTGTAGTGAGCTGAGATCACAGCACTGCCCCGCTGGGCAACAGAGGGAGTCTCTCAAAAAAAAAAAAAAAAAAAAAGGAAAAGAAAAGAAAGGAGATAGCATATGAATTGTTTCTTGAAATTCTTGAAGGAATAGGCTGGAGGCAGTGACTCTCTAGCCTCATGAGTTCATGCTGCATCCACCTGTTATTTACACCTAATATAGCTGGCAGTTGGTAAGTGTTAATTAAAATGTTTATTATTATAATACAGATGTAATTCATGATTTGGGGATTTTTTTCCTCCAATTTACATAATAAGCCCTCTGCGCCTTATTAGAGGAAAGTGCATAACAATTAGAGCATCTTGGCAGCCCAAATGGAAAAATTGCAGTCCTTAGAGAAGGGGCACCCTCTTTGAGAGGTGAGGGTGTTATCGGGAGATGATCCAGCTGTTTAACCTGGATTCTCAGCCCAGAGAAGTAGACAAGAGGAAGAGAACATCTACTCTGGATCAGGGCTCTATGCACAGCATCTGTATTGGGTTGGTAGACACTGTATTCCTAGCACTTAGCGATGGGATTCAAACCCGAGGATCTATAAGCTGTACCCCTCCTCCCCTGCTGTGCTGGCAGGCCCCTGACTGCCTATCATCTAGCCCATTGTCACACCTACGTCCTGCCTGACTTGTGGTTGGGAAGTACAGCCACCGTTGTTGTCTACAGAGTCAGTGATCCTGGCTCCCTGACCTGTCCCAAGGGCCAGGGAACATGGGCAGTGGCAGGAGGAAGATGCTACAGGAGACAGCTGGGGCTTCCTGAAAAGAGCTGGTGCCTTTACAAGCTCAGAAGCAGGTGGGATGTCTTTAAAATTAGGCCCTTTGCCTCAGTGGCTTAGTATTATAGCAAAGACTACCTGAGGGAGCAAGACTGGCAAAGCTGGGGCCACCAACTGGGTTCAATCTATGTATAGTGGGTGTTCTCCAGTTGGCATTCAATGCCCTCTGTCATTTGGCTTCACCCTCCTAATTCCGTCCCATCTCTCTTCACTGAGGCCTGCGGGATGCCAATCTTTTTTTTTTTTTCTTTTTTACAAGACAGAGTCTTGCTCTGTTGCCAGGCTAGAGTGCAGTGGCGCAATCTCGGTTCACTGCAACCTCCACCTCCCGGGTTCAAGTGATTTCCCTGCCTCAGTCTCCCGAGTAGCTGGAACTACAGACAAGCACCACCATGCCCAGCTAATTTTTTTTGTATCTTTTTCATCATATTTGCCAGGATGGCCTCAATCTCCTGACCTCATGATACACCCGCCTCAGCCTCCCAAAGTGCTGGAATTACAGGCGTGAGCCACCACACCCAGCTGCTAATCTCTTTAGAGATGAAGCCTTCCCTGACCCTGCATGCCCCATCCCACCTCATATCTCCCCTCCACAGATTCCTCTCAAAGCACTCATTAGGCTTCCCTGCACTCTTTGGATCATGGGTCTGCCTCCTACTCTGGGACCTAAGTCCCTCGAGGACCAGGCCTTCTGAATCTCCCCCACTCCCGCAAGCAGGAGCACCTAACAGAAGGTTGCTATACCACTCATATTTTTGACAAATACAGACTGAACCTTCTCTACTAAGGGGCTCTGACTTGACTTATTCTGTCCCTTCAGTCCCACTTACCCCCCCAGGTCCACCTAAGACAGGCAGAGTGGAAGGAACTGAGGAAGGCACCTTAAAAAGGGCATCTAAAAAATGCACAGTGAGCATCCTCGTGGGGCTAGAGTGTGGGGTGAAGTGAGGGAGGTGAGCTAGAAAGGATGGCTAGGGCTAGGCAATGAAAGAACCATGATGTTATAGCTGGGAGTCAGGCTTAGTTCTGTAGGCAGCAGGAAGGCTCAAGAGTTAAGTAATCAGATTTCTGCAGTGGCAGCATCTGAAATCAGCCATTTTCCCAATTAGTTGGAAAAGAGGCAGTGACTTTCCCATCCCACCCAAAGGCCCCCAAAGGTCCCCTTGAGAACAATAGACACTTTTCTTCCTCCGTGTGTTAATACCTACTTATTTAGTTAACACATGTGTTTAGTGTTTCCTTAATAATTGGCAAGTTCTTCTTCCTTACGTATTGTCTTAGACCAGTCACTAAGCCTTTTTTGAAGGAGAGGAGAAGGATGTTGTACACCTCTCTGAGAATCTGCTGAGAGATATGGCCTAGCTTTTCCAGAAGAAAATGCACTTATGCCCACCCACAAACAATTTCACCTGCACTTTCCAGGGGGACTCAACATTGGCTCTACAATGGGAT